ATCTGATATAAAGGAATAGGTTCATACCTCTTCAGATGTATGCACCACACTACACCTACCACCGAAGCACCTACAGTTCTCTGCCATAGTCTTTCTGCCTTTTCTACTTATTAAGTTCTACAGTATGATTTCTAGGGATTAGTTTTATCTGTTCCTTTGTTTTGTTTCTTTATAGTCCATCTGAGTGAAATCATACAGTATTTATCTTTCTCCTACCTACAGGTTTCTTTTAGCATATCCCCCCTACATAGCTTCCCTATCCTGTGTGTGTCAAAAATGCCATAAGCAGACTAAAGGTAAATCATAAGTAAGAAGGCCTCTCATATCTTTGAGGATTCTCTTACAGATACTACTAGATTTTTTTTTATTTTAAATCTATCTAAAATCATATCTAAGAGGCCCCTTTTCATACTGTTATTCAAAATCCCATAGATCTTCCTTGAACTACATAAACAGTTGGCATATACATAGCAATTAAAAGAAATAATGGCTAATAAAGATTTCTATTCAATCTCACAAATCAAGAATTGGAAACATAATCCAAGAAATGCAATAGGTACAGCCCAGGGATTACTTTTTTAATGTAATAGCATTAACTATAAGGACAGTCCTAAGGATTTGACCCTAGAACCAATGTTCTGGGTAGGGGGTCTGGTGACCAGCCTGCTTATGGAGGCTAAAAATCCACCAAGCACAGGTAGCACCCGAGAGTAGAAATTAATACAAACAAAGTCATTTGGAAAAGGGGTAGGAGAACATATGAAAACAGTTTAGTCAGGGAATGTATACAATGTTTTCCCTCTTAGCAAGAAAAGACAAAAGACCAAGAGAACCACAAAAAATGATCACAGATTTGGAACATGAAAGAACTGAAATTACTACTCAGAATACAAAAAAAAAAAAGGACTGAATGAGGGTTCATTAGTTAATGTTCTTCCAGTTTATGAATGGGTTCATTTATGAAAACAACAAACCATCTGGTCTCCATGTTTGGCAAAGTTGAGCAAGAAAGTAGGCATACAATACCACATGAAGAATTAAGAAATTATTAAATCTGAGCAGGAAAGTCATCAAGACTTTTGAATAGTATATATGCCGTGACTTGGTATATATACCAAATCAAGGGCCTTTAGTCTACTGTTTCTGCAATAAATTAAACCTGTGTGAGTTTAGGTAAATCCCATAATATCTTTTGACTCAGCTTCCTCATCGGTGTAGTGAGCATATTGGTTTAAATTAAAAAAAAAAAAAAAAAAGAAGAAGAAAAAACAATCAGCCATTTCTACACCAGAACTCAGTTTCTTGTTACAATCACCATAGTCCCAGCTATAAGGGAGACTAGGAAAGCAAGTATCCCATAGTTTTGCCCAAAATCCCCAGATATATAAAAGTTGAGATGCAAAGTTGCCAAAATGAACTCAGTTCATTCAACACTCATATTAAGATATGTTGTTTAGAATGATTTATGAAGCTTGTACACTTTTACCTAAGGTCAGACAGACAATATACACAATCTCTTAAAACCTCTATGGTTCCATTATAAAAGGCTTAATATATTTGTTACAGAAGGAACTTCCAAATACCCTTAACATACAAACTAAATTACTATGTAGTTTTAATGACCACTATTTAAATTAAACCCATTGTATTTATAGTTAGAATTAGGTCTGCAATTTTTAATTTGTAGAATTAAAAGTATTTAATCTATTATTGTGTGAACAGGGAAAATAATTATTTCCAAATTTTCTCCTGGAAAACTAACAGATCACAGATTTTAGCCAATATTCTCTCATGGAAAACAAAAAGCCTGGTCTATTAATACACTTATGCTGCGTGAGGGAACGCATCCCATGAGAAAGACGTCAGCTTGGAAGAGTTACAACTGGGTTTTATCTATTTTAAACTCCTCAGCTATAAAAACAGTGCCGAAAATATCAGCAATCCAGTTCCCAACTGTCCTTTCTGAGTAATGGACAGCGATGCTAAGCCCATGACTAATGTCGGTACAGGTCTTATATTGGCCTGGACTTTTACCACTAGTGCATTCCAAGCCCAGCGGGTGGTTCACAGAGCAAATCTTCTCCAGTGTGTGAACTTCATAGCATCTCTGAACCAATCAGATGTTTTCTAATCCCCAGGAATATTCTTGAAGGAGTTTTTCAAGTGTTCAGAGAAACCACAGAGAGACAAGAAATTTTGTTGCCCAATCATTTCAGCTCACAAGCAGATGAATACTCCTCTCTGTAGTTCATATATCTTTAGCAAATATAGTAAGAAAATTGAAGGGAATTTAAAAGGTCAATCTGTTGATTGTTTCCAAACTATCAGACAAAGTTTATCAAATCAAAAATACTGGAACAGTCACTATATTATTGTGGTCTGAAACTTTGTTTTGCTCAACCTGAACAAGAAAAATACTGCCAAATTTACCTGATATTTCAACCTGAACAAGAAAAATACTGCCAAATTTACCTGATATTTCTTCCAAAAATCCATTGTGTAATATTTCTCTGTATGTTTAAGTTACAGAAATGACGTAGAAAAATCATCATGAACCACAATGGTGAAAGTTAACCTAGCGACTTAGTGATCATTTGGGATAGAAATAGGTCTCTGTGTTTTCTCCCAAATTTTGTGTCACAAAATGATCGGAAACTGGAAGGGATTTTAAATGCAACCGAGTTTGCAATTTAATGGTAAGATAGTTATTTTTCATAAATAGTCATTTAAATATATGAACCTATTACAGGTGATACAGCCTGTATACATACAGCAAAGCAACAAAATCCAGGATTAGGCTGATGGACTCTGAAATCAGAAGGCCTGGCTTCACATCCTGCCTTCTCTACTCCCCAGTAACACGCCCTCCGAAAATCACTTACTCTATCTGGACTCGGATGTTCTTAGTAAAATGGTGATAGTGATAGTTCCACGATGTTTGAGTTTTAGAACACTGCGTGCCATGTAAAGTACTACCCAGGTATTTGCAAACAAACAAATAAGTAAAATATTCACTATGTTTCTGAAAATATCACATTAAATATTTTAGGAAATTCTTGATTAGGGTATAGCCACTTTGTATAATTCTTATGGGCCACTTTCTATAATTATAAAATATTCTATTTCTCACATTTCTTAACAGTGCTAAAGTTTTGTTACTGGATAATCCTTTCAGAGGGTAAGAAAAAAAAGCAGAAAAACTTTGAGGGAATTATTGAAATACTTAATAAGATTTAAAAAAAAAAAATACCCGACCAGTTGTTTGGAGCAAAAAAATAATCAGAATACTCTTCTGACTTATTTACCAGCAAGAAACAAAACACTAGGAATAAAACATAGTTGTAACCACAAAGATCTTTTAAATCAGTGATATCCAAAAGTTTTTGTATTAACACTTATAAAATTGAGAAAGACTATACTGCCATATATAAAGATTTACCAGTTAAACCAGCAAATGTTATACTTTGATTTTAAGTCAACATTTTACAAAACTATGGTTTTAAACTGGCATTTAAGAAAAAATATCCTTATATTTGGGCAAACTTTTAACAGTTAACTACTGATGAAGAGGCTAATATATTGGAGAATTTTATTTTATTTTATTTTTTTAATTATTTATTTATTTATTCATATAGAACTGGGGTACAGGCCAGAGATGCGGAGGGTGAGAGGATTCACCAAAGAAAGAGTGGGGAGCAGAACAGGCAGATCGATGAAGTACACTGCTGAGGGGAGCAGCGGGCGGGTCAGGAGAGGTCTGCCTTTCCATGTGGTCACCCCCGGGGCAGGCGGGGATCTTACTCATGAGGAAGTGGCTTAATCTTCTTAGTGCAGTGCTTTAACCCGCTGCGCCACCAGGGAGGGCCATAGTGGAGAATTTTTTTTTTTTACCTTATATATTACAATGTACCCATTTCATAGTATAAAACTTTTTAAAATCATTGGTTGTATAGTCACTGACAAATACTGATTTTTAGTTCCTTATATTGTCCTATCCCCCAAATCATAACAAAATATAAAGAGCTCTCCGTTTGTGCCCAAGTGGAAAATAAATTTACCTTTCCCCAGCAAGTCAGCTATCATAGATCACTGGTAGTGGATTAGATTTATACATCACTTTGGTTCCCTGAAGTTACTTTCAGCCCTTTAACCTCTAGAAAAATAAAGATAGCAGGTTAGATGTCACCAATGTCATTCTTCCCCCCAAACATACTGAATTTACAAAGGTTTATAAGAACAACCTTTGTTACAACAAAGGAAAAGAGTAGGAACTAATTCTAAGAACAGCAGCATTCCCCACTAAAAGAACCAACATAGTCAATGCCTCTCATAACCTTTTCAGCTTTGAAAAAACCAGCTACCTCCACATCTACTCCTCCCAATCCTAATGGTCAAAAATGTTTCTAGTTAGGGAGTTAACTTGTTGTGCACTTGAATCACCTAAGTCCAATAAAGAAGAAAAGTGTAACTACTGAATATGGATTACATACCAAGAGCTTTGACACACATATTTGGTACATCATCACCTGTAATCAAAATTGATGCCCTACTTTGTGTAAGAGAAATCTGAGGAGGTAAAGTTAAGTCATTTGCCCAATGCTCCACAGCTAGAGAGTCATGTGACCAAGCAAGCAGGTCAGCTTCAGAATGCTTATTCCTACACCACTTAACGTTCAATATGACACCAGTTGCCAGGTTCAAATTCTACTCAGATGCTTCGATTATCAAGCATTGGTTATTTTGCGATAACAAAATATACAATAACCCCCCATCTTTGTCCAGTACTTCCTGAGTCTGCGCAATGCTTATCTCAAGCAAGTTAAAGAACAGAGTGTGGTATTAAGATCTACACCAAAAAACTTTGATTTTTATCATGCAACCACTCCCCTTGTCAATGATAAACATAGCTTTATTGTGAAATGAAAAATAATCAAAGAACTCAAACTGAAGATTCTTTTGTTTTCTTTTCTCCTTCATAACAACTCATGTTGGGTTTGCAGGAAAATGGACAGAGAAAATACGGTGGCCCACCACCTGGCTGGGATGCTGCACCTCCAGAAAGGGGCTGTGAAATTTTTATTGGAAAACTTCCCCGAGACCTTTTTGAAGATGAACTTATACCATTATGTGAGAAAGTAAGACCAAATGTAATTTAATCTTATTTAACTTTCAAGAGAAAATTACTTCTCTCTTCACTTTGCTTTCAATATCATTCTTTGTTGTGAGTGATTGTTTCACACCACCCCTCATACCAAGCCTCAATTAGAATCCAACTGTTAGTGAGTATCCTTTCATTATCACTTGCTGACTTAGCTCTCTGTCCTGTTACTAACACTTGGAACTATCACTGCTCATGACTTATACATGTCTCTATCCCTGAGCACAGTTGACAGGGCTATCTCAGTGCAAACTAATGTGTCTATCAACCTAGCATAACACTGTAACATCTGTCTATAATAATATATTGCCCCCACTTGACATTTTAATATGGTTTTATGAAGAGCAACACTTTCACATGAAAAGAATAAGTATATCTGTCACGACTGAATCATGTGCCTACATATATTAATCCACAATGAAATTTTCTTCTACAAGTTTCAATTTCTTATCTGCCCTGAAGCATCAACAAGCCTAATATCAAGTGACTTTCTTCTTAAAGTCATTATATAAAGAATACATTCCACGAGTTTTAACTTCTTATTTTGTTACTAAACCTGGATTTAAAGGGAGAATACAAAATAAAAATTTTTCAATAATTCACTGAATGCTGTTAAAAAAATCCTTAGAAATTTTATTAAAAATAATAAGTTAGCTATTTCATTCTTTTAATGCCCAAATAAGGTGCATGTATATAATTCAGCCGCAGATTCACACTGCTCTAATTTCATATTACAATCCTATTTGGCATGAGGACAAATTAACTACAGGGATTCAATCTGGTAAGAGTCTTATATACTGAATCTGAAAATGAGCATTAAGATAGACCTAAAATGCAGAAATAAAAAGTATTGAAATTCTTCCCAAATGAGCACAGAAAAAAATGGGTATCCGTCACTGAGTAACTTAGGACAGGGTCAGCTGGCGTGAGGGTGAGCCACAGGCCACCAACCACTGAGGTAAGAGCACATGTTTCAATGGCTTCTCTTCCCTACCAATGTATATTTGGGTTACCCTTACAGCAGCCAGCAATAATAAATTGTGGAATCTGGAATTTTAGAGAACATCAGAGACAGGAATGATATATAAGGAAAGCAAAGGAACAGTGTCCCCAACTATTATGGAGGGTCTGGTCCTGAGTCTGCTGTATTAAGGCAAGTTCTAACTTTAGCCTATAGACTGAGAAGACAAAGAGGCTTCTCTGGTTCTCCTCTGAAACACATCTTGTATGTTCACCTTGATATTATAATAGGTAGAAAAGACAATTAAGGAGTCAGTTTAAAAGATTCCAAATGAGTATGTCTGATTTTTAAACTTATCAATGGTAGAATATGATCATGTAAAAATAAAACTATGGAGACTTCAGAGGCCAGTGCGATGGCAAGGATTGATAAATGCATTTTTAAGTCCCAAAGACACTGTATAATTCCCTATATAAATGTTTAATATAAGGCAATTTGCTCTGTCAAAACCTGTTGTGAACTCAGGCTGAAATGCCACTTTTTCAGCGTTTTCTTCATTTGACTTTTGAAGTCAGATAATGCATCTGAATGCAGTAAGAAGATATGTAACCCATTCTACTTAGCATAAAAATGCCAAATGCAGCAAAGACAGACTTCAGGAAACATGTATTTGTGTGCATGAGGCATGAATGTGTGAGTATGTGTGTACATGTGTGTGCATGCATGTGTATGTGTGTGCACATGCCCTCATGTATTCCTTTGGGAGTATAAATATATAATATGAATTTTCTCTTTTTCTATCACTTATAGATTGGTAAAATTTATGAAATGAGAATGATGATGGATTTTAATGGCAACAATAGAGGATATGCATTTGTAACATTCTCCACTAAGCAGGAAGCCAAGAATGCAATCAAGCAACTTAATAATTATGAAATTAGGTAAGAACCACCTCTTTTAGATTATCAGACAATGCACCTGTATCTGTTCTTCTAACAAGTTTATCTGATATAGTGTGTACAAAAATAGCCAAAACTAAAAAAAAAAAAAAAATTATTTTCTTTGGTGAAAGCCAATGTCATGAAATGAATTCAACGGTGAAAGAAAATTTAATGAAATATTATTTAATATTAATACATATAGCAACAAACTACATTCTGTGACATGTTCAGAGAAACAAAATGAATTAATTGATCCATTACATAAATATGTGCTGGGCGCCATTCAAAATATTGGAAGTATCATGGTACACCTTACTCTTCTCATAATGAGTGAATGGATACATCAATTATATAAAACAACATGGAAAAAAAAATAAAACCAAGGAATGGAACAAAGTTGTGTGAGGAGGTGGCTACTCTAATACAGTACATTTAAAAAAAAAAACACTTTGGGAAAGTTAAATTTGATCTGAGATTTGATCAGTCATGACCATCGACCTGGATAAAGGTTATTTCAAAGAAAGAAATTACAGCAAGTGCAAAGGCCCCCAAATGAAAACAAGGTTGCTGTTTGAGAGGAAGAGAGTGTCAGCACGAATCAGGTTGGTTGGAAAGAGAAGAGCACTGAAGGAAATTGAATGGGGGAGTCTGTGATACCATGACTGAGAACTTGGATTTGATTATAATAAAAATGGGAAATTAAAAGAGGATTTTTTCCAATTAGATTTGTGCTTTTTAAAATGTTACTCTGGCTTCTGGGTGAGGAATGGATTTAGAGCAGGCTAACTCCACTGGCAGAGGGAAGGCACTTGGGATGCTGCTGATGTGATCCAGAAAAAAGAAGAAGGTGTTTGGACCAGGATAGTGGTGATGGTGGTGAAATGACTCACATTTGGGATATATTTTAAAGTCGGAATAAAGATTAGCTAAATATTGGATTTTTTAGTCAGAGAAAATGTGAAAGAGTTGTTTAATAATGGGTTTAGATTATGAGTAAATTTTGAATTCTGGGTGGAAACCTAGGGTATCTGTGCAAGCAGGTGGATGTTCAGAACAGCAGGAAACAGAAGCCTCTGTTTGGGGCAATTTACATTTGAGATGCATGTTAGGTACTGCAGCCTAGCTGTTGAAGACATGAATGCTGTTATTGGAGTCAGGGAGATTATAATATAGTTTCCTACAATCATTAGAGCCAGGGAGAATATAATGTAGGTTAGTTTCCAACGATCAATTTTTTCTTTCATATCATATGAACCCAAAATATTCAGCAAATATACATTATAATTTTGTAAATCAGTCAACTATTGAGCCATTTTTCTTGAACCTCTTAGCCTTAAAAAGATCAGTTGGATTTGGCAACAACTATTACTACTGAGTGGCTCTTCAGTTCCAATGCTGGATTCTGGAACAGAGTTTTGGAGAAAATATAAAGGAGACTCCCCTTCCACACATGCCTCCATGGACCCCAAAAGAGCTCAGTCTGGTATGTGGAGGATTGTATGGCATGGGAATCAGGAGATTTGAGGTCTAGCACAGGTTACTTTGGACAAATCCTTTGACTTCTCTCAGTATCAGTTTTATTATTAGTACCTGAGCACACAGAGAATTTCTGAAAATACTTAGGTGTTTTCAAAAGAG